CGACCTTTCGTGCCGTGCACACCGCTGAGCTGAGTTACGGGCATCAATTCGGCTGGCGCAGGGAGTAGATCGGGCCAAGAACGTAGCAAGTTGCACTGGTCAGGCTCAAACCATCCTGCTCTGGTGGTCCAGGCTGTAAATCATCATCGTACTGGGATTTCAGCGTCTAAGGCATTTTGGCAAATGTATTAGGCTGGGCTGCAACAGCCAGCTTGCATTGCATGTAATAAAAAAATCAAATGAATTGTTGCAGCTCTGTATTTGCAGCCCCCTTCATCAGGCGGGCTGCAGGTCAGTCCCACCGCTCGGGCACAGGCGCTGAGTCAGCGCCTTTGCATTTTGGGGGCATCCTGATTTTTACCAGATGTGAGCAGAGGTGAGATTGATGCTTGTCTGTCTCTTTTCTCTGTTTTCAGGGTCATTTAAAAAAAATAAAAAAGAAAAAAATCCTCATAGCCTTGCTATTTCATTCTTTATTTTTAGAGATGAGTATTAAAAAAGAACCAACCCTCTTGCCGGAGGCAGATTAAAGAAAGGGTGGCATTTCAGGTGCCTTTTTCTTCCTCCAGCAGATTGCAGCGCTCTCTTCCCAGGCTCACTGCGCTTGGCTGGGAATTTGTCCCGTCCTCAACACCAAATACCACTGCACCATCTCCTTTTTAAAAGAAACACCCAGGTTCTCCTGGTCTCCGGATGGAGACATTTCCCTGGGGTTTATTTCAGTCTGCTTCAAAAAGGAACAAGGCGGGGGGGGGAGGAATAAATAAAAATCTCCTCCTCCAGAGGGGATTGGGTGAAGTGGGCAGCGGCCAGGTGGGAGGACACCACGGCGATGCGGCAGGAGCCGTGCCCACGCCGCGAGGCTTGCCGGGCTCGGGGGACGAGCTCTTAGGAGCAAGCAGCAGCACTAGAAGAGGTAAATATGACACCGAGCGCTGCTTTGTTTGCCGTAACTTAACTACGTTGTAGGGTTTTTTGGGGGGGTTATATTTGGTTAGTCCAAGAGAGGATGTGCAAAGCAGCGAGTCAAGCAACAAATGCGGGTTTCGGATGGGAGGCGGAGTGGGAGCTGTAATCCGGCATGGAAACCGGGCGCTGGCTGCTTGCCTTGCGGGATGCAACTCGTTAGAACGAGCAGGATTTACGCCCCGGTTTTCTAAGGGAGAAATTCCCCGAGTATGAGGTGGGGAGTCATAGGATAGGCAGCAGAGAGGGAAATCCCTGGGGTCGAGTGGCCCAGTCCCAGTCGCAGGGGTTCGATGAAGACAGGCAACAGCTATGCACGCAACCCTAGGGATGCTCACTTAAAATAAAGCCCTGAATGGGAAGGGACAAAGGGGGTCCTACGGAAAAAAATATACAGGCGTCATGGCATGCCCGTATCTTTGATGAATAACCAGGTTATTGCACTCATGTCAACTCTTCTGTCTCCCCCAGCCTCAGTTCCCGCTTTCCTGTTAATTTTGTTGACCTGCTGTAGGGTCATACAGGGAATTAGCTGTTATCTCCTTACAGAATTGAGATCTTGGCCTTTTTATCTGTTTTACGCAGTACGTAGCACGCTACCGGGCACTCTAGTAATTAAGACCTAATCATGGTATAAATCAAGTAAATAAGTACTTGTTGGCAGGTTATCAGGACTCGCGTGTCTCTCGGGCAAAGCCATGTTCATGGAGGCCAACGCAGCCCAACGGCCAAACTCCTTCGGGGCGGGTGAAGTGATTTTCTGTAGCCCCCCTCGCCAAGCCCCTTCTGCAGGGGTGGCCGAGCAGCCCTGCGAGTTGCCCGTCTCCCACCATCCTGCGGGCATGCCCACCTCTGCCCCCTGAAATCTTCTGGGACTTCTGTTGGGTTTTTTTGGTAGTGATTAAAAAAAAAAACAACTTAATCAAAGTATTAAATGATAAGAACATGTTAATTATGGTCACAAAATCCGAATTAAGGCACTGGTGACTTTTCTCTACAATTTAAAAGACGAGTGGACGGTTTCTAAATAGTCACTGAACTGCATAGTTAAAGATGTTAAGTAAAAACTCTCGCTCATTCAGAAAGTGAAAATATTGAGGGAAATACTCGACAAAACAGTATTTCTGTTATACTGCTGTTCAACCTCATCGAAGAATGGAAAATACAGCTGACCTTGGGACTAGAGTCTTACTGTCAACCAGGGACTATTTTTTTTCCCGTGCTTCTAGTGTCAGAATACCCAACCGATATACGAGTGTTATAGGATAACTAAATGGTCATTAATTCAATTTAAATTCATTTCAATTAATCACCGTGATTAATTAATTTATTAGCTAGGAATTAATAGTGAATTGGTGGAGAACATGAAGAGAGTGGGCAAGAAACTGCAAACGAGGAAATGTAGTCTCTTTTTGACAGAGTTGAAAGGCAAAAATGAGTTGAAACATTGTTTGAGCATATATAAATTTTCTGTGCCATAAAAAAAATAAAATCAGAGTAACAAATGTGCAGCACTTTAATGTCAGATTTGACTGTCATTGGAACTGTTCACAAGTAGTGTGGACAATCTAAGTTGTACTTCATTTTCTAAGTATGATATATAACCATTAGGATAATTTAGAAAACACATCACCAGAACTTGGGCTGAAGAGGGAAGAAAGGGAACATCTTTGGAAGGTCCAAGTGGGATTTTTCAAGTGAACGCTATTCCAACATTTTGCGACAAACAGGAAGAAGTGAGGTCTGTTACACATCCTTCACAGCCTACATATAAACCAGCCTCGAGAATATTTACCTGAACAGATATATACAGGTTTTTTTAAATATTCTTAAAAAAGTAATATTTGCTTGATCTATGACACAATGAACATCTCTACAGGGAAACTTACCATAGGCATAATAAAATATTCAAGAAGTCATAAAAGATAACACGAGAGCAGTGTTTGGCCTTGGTAAAACAGATTTAGGATGACTGCAATGTATGGATACAGCTTTGTTCAAGAAAGGAGTTGTGCATATTTAAAGGTACTTACAAAGCTGGTCTTCTCCTTTCCTTGACATGGGCACGTTTCCTAACCAGATGAGTAGAAAACCAGGGACACCATGCAGTGCTAAAGGCAGGCTATGCCAATCTGTTGTCTACGTCTGTGTTGCAATGACGGGATAGTCTCTTCTAACCCCTATGGCTCGTAAGTGAAAAGAGATGTAGGTCTCAGCCTATGGGTGTCGAGGGGCAATTTCAAGGACTCCACGTTTCATGAATTCATAGGATTCAGCTCCCCTTCTTTGTCTGTCTGAACAGATTTTTTACATATTCTCTATAGAACCGAAATGGTTTAAATTACTTCAGGTCTACAGCCATGGTAAAATGCTACTCTTTCGGTAAAGTTTAACATTTAAAGCAAAGATTACCAGTGTTAGTCTGCGTCCTTCTCATTTAAAATCCCTCTGTGTGCACTGTGAAATGGGTGACTTTAAGCATCTGTGGCAGAAAATAATTACCGCGCCACTACGTATCACTGGATGCGTTCAGCAGCTGCTTCCGTACCAACTCTGGGCAACAAGGTCATTCGCAAACCGAGCTGGGTCTTTCGAAAGGCCGACGGGCCGCCCCGATGCAACAGATGTTTACCCTCAGAGAGAGTTTTCACCCACATCAAGACCCCGTTTTCAAAGCAGCGCGTGGGATACAACCGCTCGGATGCGCCCGGTGGTGGTGGCAGTGATGCTCACCTGGTTCGCGCCGCTTTGCGAGCCATAGCTGCTCTCGCCCCCATTACTTCACGGTGACGGATATAGAAAGTTACAAAAATGCAACTAGAAAAGTTTTTTATATCTTCCAAATGTGCAAATGGATCTATATTTTTACGGGAACTCAACTGAAATTTCTCAATGCCAGCTGTTGCATTCTAGGGTAATTCAGCTGGTTTTACATGAACCTCTTTGCTCATAACTAAAAGATAATTGACTACAAACAAGTGTACTATAAATGGGAAGAAAAAAAAATCACAAAGAAAAATTGTTTCCCAGGATGTCTGAGAAGAAATAGGCAAATTAAGGCTACGACTAGAAAATGAGTGAATTTTCTATTAAAAATACCCTCTGTCATTGTAGCTATTATTTTACAAAGAACCAAGTGACTTCAGTGCTACTAAATATTTAATGAGACAAACCAACAATTTCTAGAAGTGTTACTGCCTCCCATGGAATAACCGTAACTAATTCTCTGCCCCTGAAGAGCAGATTTTGCATATTGGGCCCAAGCTGACCGTGCTCACAAGCTGCTGAAAGACTAAAGCCCCCTTCTCAACAGAATTTTTTACAAACTCTGACCCCTCCCCGCAGTGTTTCCTGGCTTTTACCTGCTCTAATGGCCTGGATATTTCATGCCAAATGCTCAAATACAATCACACAAATATGCATTAGGAGAGGGTGGGGGACTCATAACATTGCCTTCAGTAGTACCAAGAGCAAAATTAAGCGCAGAAGAAAGCGAGCTGACAGTTACTATTTCTGTTACGCCTCCTTCTGAAACCACATCCGAGAATCCTCCCAAAGCCATCCTGCAGAGAAAACTGATCAGTTTTCATTAAATCGCTCTCCTAGGTTTCTGTGGGTTGAAAACTGCTCTCTGATGCTTAGTTTCCCTCATCATCCAAAGGTGAATTTTAACGGCACTCATTGCTTCTGTAGCCTCTCTGTGTTGGGGTGGGGTAGTCAGCACAGCTAATGGGCAAGGTATACAGGAAAGAAAACTGATGGCTTGAACATAACATAAAAGCTCCTCAGTATGGAAACTCAAAATCTGTTTTGTTCTACAGAATCACTAGGTTTCGTGGCTTATACGATATCTCAGTGGAGATACTATTTGCTTCCCAGCATCTTCCTCATAACCACAAATCATACCCCCAAAATAAAAAATATCCCTTCAAAACCACTTCCTATCAGCAGAGCATACCTTATATTATAAAACTTGCAAGTAGACCAGTGTTGTACCATGAAGCCTATACAGTTTTTTTTTTTCTTTTTTTTTTTCCCCCAGTGTAAAAATATACAATGCTACTGCTCATTTGTTGCAGTGTAAAGGTCCAACCGGTACTTGCCTGCCGAAGGCTCTACTGCTATTGCCCTTTCATACCTCTCCAACCCAGACCACTGTGTTACCCCTTCTTATACCTGAAACCTCACAGCGTAACGTATTTTGCCTCCCATTTATAACAAACAGTGACTCTTTAGCTGGTGTAATGAGATACTGTCCAAATAACCCACTGTCTTTCATAATTCTGTTGTAGTTGCTCCAGGGCCAGTCTTTGGATGTGATAGGGTCCTTTAAATTCTTCAGTACATTCATTTTCCCCGTTGACAGCTCTACAAAAAGCACATCTGTTTGCAAATGTGAAGTAGCATATATATAGTACTGATTGCCTTCAGTGAAAGAGGGTTGAAATGTCAGATCAGATACGCGTATGTTTGTTTGTAAGTCATAAATCAACTTGATTTCTCCTCGGACAGATAGAGCCTGGACTTTCATCCTGCCACTGTCTTCATCCGCACTGACCAAATACCGTCCGTCCGGTGAGATATAAGGTGTGCCCGACACGTCGCTGTTGGGGCCGATGACGGCATCGGTAACACTGTCAATAATGAGCTGCGGCGACGCAGCCACCGACCTATTCCTCCTACACTGGACAAAGAAGTAACCGCCCAGGTGGGTATAAGCCATGGTCTGCGGTACGCAACTATAGTTTTTGAAGTTGATAGTCTTGATGTGGGTCACAGTTTCCAGGTCAATTTTGTGAACTGCTGATTTCGATTTGTTAAAGATGAAGCCAAACCTGAAATAGAAAACATGACACTGAAGTCATCTCTGGAGACACAGTGCTATGCTTGAGAAAAGACAAAAGTCAGCAGAACTGGGAAACTCTATCCTGTTGGTTTTGGAAGCATGTGCAATAACGCTGTCTCTTTTTTGTAAGAAAACTCTCTTCTTTTAGGGCTTCTAAAATGTGCTAAAAGGAGGTATATATTTCAGTTAAAATTAGCAACCTGATCCTGGAAGCTTGAATATGGGCTTAGGTATTCGAGTAACATTGTCAAGAGCTGAAGCCTTTTATTGAGAAGGCCAATTTACAATAGGAACGATATCAAGACTTGGGTGTTTTGTAGGCTAGTGTTGACCAGTTTTGTATTTAATCTGTATCGGGTCTAGAGAGATGTAATTCAATACATACTCAAGACTTCTTCAATCTCAGAATAGAAAACTGTTCAAAATAAAGCGTATCCCTGCCAGGTTGGAGCCAGAGAGCAACTTCGAGCTATATGTATAACCACTGAGTGAAGACCGTGTCCAACCCCATCTCCTACATTATAACATCAGAGGGTAGCTGTGATGCGTGTTTGCTACCCGTGGTGCCTGGGGACCACTGCAGGAGCCGGCAAGGCTGAGGTGTGGAACAGAATTTGCTAAGCACCATCCCACCAGCCCAGGGAAGGTGTAAAACATTTCTCGAGGAACGTAACCAGCCAGGGTGCACTGAAGAAAAGGGGTCTTTGTTTTCTGTCTCAAGAGAGGGCAGACAACAGTGAGCAGAGAATAAACGCTCTGTAAAAGATATATGCTGCAGCACATCTGACCTTTGCTGAAGACAAGAAAAGGTCAAGAATAGCCAAGAAAGGTTTCTGCTTAATTTGAGAGGGAGCCCATAGAAACAGCCTGTTTGTGTTCCCCTGGATTCACAGGTCACTGATACTGACTTACAAAAACTCATTTTACATCAAGTATCTTTTCATCCATTCAATGCAGACCGAAGGAAATGAAGTGAGTGCTTAGTTTTGTATCTCCTCCTCAAAAGGTGTAAAATTGCTTTGTGAAATGTGGAGGACACGTGCTTGCGTGCAGATAATACATATTTTGCTTAAAACACTGCGTTTATTTCTTTATTCTTAATCCATCAGTCAATGAGACACTCAGCAATGATTTCACTTCTAAAGAATGAGCCAATGTAGTGTATGATCCCATGAAAATCACTGGGCTAAGCCTTTCATTTTCCCATTACACTCACATCCATTAGAGACTTCAGAAGACATCTGCAGTGGAGATTCGTAGTGCACTGTGTGGGGGGAAATTGGATATGACACTTGTATTTCTCCTGGATGAATGCATTTTAAGTACACTTTAAAAAATGCTTTCCCTTACAGCATTTTTTCCCAAGACTTCCTTAATACTTGGCCAAATGCCCGAAGAAGTTAAAAAATGGTTCTTATCATAAACTCTAATTTAAAAAAGTGGGTCAGAATGTGTTTTATGTGCATACATCTGCAGAAGAGGTGCAGCGCTTGCATGAAATCTGTGATCTGAAATCTCAAAAAAACGCCTCACACTTAGAGTTTTTAATAGACAACAATCTACCCTGGGAACTAATAAAAATGGATACATTCCTAGATATCCATCTGAAATAACAGGCAGCTGAAATACATATGCAGGAACATTTGCATACAAATATTTTTTGGGTTGTGGAAGAGATTGCTTAAATATTCACCTTCCTGGGAAATGCTGGTATTGCCATTTATTGTTTCTGAGTGGAGAATTTAGAACATGATCTCAGTATGTCTCATTAGACTGTAAGCAATTATTTTTCTGTGCTGAGGGTGAGAGAGAACGGACAAAGATCTGGCCCTGAACAAATGAAATAGGAAATTAGGCACAGCGTTCTCTGCTTTGCACATGGAAAACTATAAAGAATTATCTACATTTGATATTTCTTACGGATGATCATCTGTATACAGCCGATGAATCACACTGAAGCAAAAAGACAATAAAACAAACAAAAAAATGTGTAATTGTTCCACCTTCCTGTCTTTGAACCCAGACCATACCTTCTCATCTCAGGCTTTAACATTCAGCAGTGTCATCTACCTCCTGGCACTACTATTAGTCATAACGATATTCTGAAAGCAAACTGGAAAAATGAGGTAGGGAAAAATTAAGAATGACAGCCATGAAGTATGTCTCATTATTTTGTGTTTCAGGAAGTAAAGTTATTTATTTTGGATCAGATTCAACACATAACCATTTAAGTGTGACCCCCCTGTCCTCAGTGTTCACTGCAGGGAACCCAAGATTAATGTAAGGAGTTGCATTATGATTTTTTGAGTGTTTAACTTAGTTAAACTATACTGGGGGCAGAAGACATGGTAAGAACAGTATAAATTGCTGTACAGTTATCATCAATGTTGATAATGTTAATGGGAGGCTTCCTGTTCCTGCTGGGAAGCAGCCAGTATTACTCCAAGTTATTAGTATGTTAGTTACACAATCTCATTAACCACTACATCACATTAACATTCAAAACTGACGGTTCATAGAGGTGGTTTTTTTAATATGCAGCGCATAACATTTTCCTGCTCAAACCGCATACCTCACATGGAGATCCAATATTTGAACAAGTAAATAGTTGGAAACACGTGGAAGAGCCACGCTTTATCCTTCAAGCAGAATAAAGTTTTACCACTTCAGGCAATAAATCTTTGACATAGGTTTCTGCCCAGATCCCTAAAGCGGTTTTGAGGAGGGAAGCCAGCTTTCTGGCCATGAAATTCCCGGCACAAGCAAGCCAGGGCAGCGTGGCCCCTGCTTTGCTGCACGGAGGCATCGCTGACCAAGAGGAGGTTAGGACACCTCTGCGTGGTCCAAGGGAAGTCCGGTTTTTTTCCTGCTGTTTCACTGATTCGCTGAATAACTACAGGTAATTTGCTCAACGATTTCTCTATTTCACATGGGAAAATGGGGATAAGAGTAGCTAGCTTGATCACAAATTCATTCATTAACATTCATCAAGTGCTCTGAGATTATGAGAAGGATGCCCGCTAGAAGAGAGCAGTATGGTCATTGTTGCTATTCACTAAGATCATTTCTTACCTCACGTGATTAATAATAAGATTTGTAGGTGGTATAAAAAAATCATCCACTCCTTCAAACGGTGTGCGGATAACACGCTGAACCTCCCCTGCACTTGCCTCTGGTATTACCTACAATAAATACACACAAGGTTGAGTACAGGACAAGCAGCAAGCAAGGCAGAAAGGTAAATACAGATTACACAGTTATACATGGTACCAAGTAGCTTTTCCCAGGGATGGAGTAGACTCAAATTGATTAATGACTTCAAAATATTGTTTGGTGTAGCTGTCTTGAAAAAGGTGTGCTAATAAATAGTATTTGAGGCTTGACATTTGTAAGGTAAGTACACAACTCCGCTTTCATAAGATGTTTATGTCTTGAGGAAGAGCAGTCATGCGGGAGCTGAAGTAGTATGACAACACTAAGACTGTAATAATTTATTCCCCGCTGTCTAAAATAAACATTTATTTCATGGTCATATTTATTAATCTCACTTAAATGCACAGTGATAATTTACCAGCTTGAAGGATCAAACACTAACACACAGCAGTTAATTATCACTTTGAAGGAGAAGAACTGTTCACCCATCCACTGCACCATACAAAATTCAGGGAAGAGGAGAGAAAGGCCCTTTGGCTGTCCCCCCCTCGTGCTGTCCTCCAGCACAGTGCACACCCCTGCGCTCATGCTAACTCAGCTCCTCCACCGCCCCGGAAAAGGAGAGGGAGAAGTTTTCAATAATTAAAACGTTAAATACTCAAATTGTTTGCTCAGTTCAAGATGACTTCAGTCCATTCATTAGGAACTTCTGCTGCTCTAACGTGCAACAGTAGTTGCTTTGAATTTCTAGCTACATAATTCATTAAGGCAACGCTAAAACCCTACAAGGTTTAGTTCAGACAGCTGTTCCGGTCGTGCCAGTTAGATTTCTTCCAATTAGATTGCTCAAGAAAGATGCCCCCTCCTGCACAGTGCTTCCATGAGGCCAGGCATTTGCTTCCCACAAGCCAGTAATGGCTAAACAACAGCATCCCATTAGTTGGCTGCACGGGCTGGTTGATAAATCCCTGACTTCCAAAGAACGAGTGGAAATTTAGATTAACCTCTGCAGTAGCATCTTTGTTAAAAAAGGATATTTTATTGCATACCTGCAACTAACCACTGCAGGTTTTAAGAACGAACTTTGCCAAATTAGTCACTGCCCACCTTTTGGGAAAGGTCGGAAAAAAAGAAAAGATCTGCCGATGCTGATGCTAATCTCATTCTCTACATGTGTAACTGCACTTCATAAAGATAACAGAAAGGACTACCTGAGAGCTGGAGCCTTATAACAAGTTTCCAACTGAGCAGATGGTATGTTCTTCTTAATAATCACATGCTTGTGCCATCTCTCCTTTAATTACAGAAACCTCTCACAGCTGGATGGAAGAAATTAAGTCAGAAAGGGTAAAGAGAGCCCATTTTGTCTCCTTATACCCTGTACAGGAAATTGCTCATCCCCAGGTGAGACAAGCTGGTGGCATTGCCTCAGAAACCTTCATTTATTTGCCCACATTCAGTTTCTGGCGTCTTTTCCTGAAAATGCCCGTGTTGAGTTGCTGGTCCGTTCTTTATTGTTGAAAATGGGCAGGCTCCAGCCGTTATCTTGGACGGAGCATGTGGCTGGTTTTTGGTGGTCCGTTTTTTTGTGGTGAAAAAGGGCGGCCCCCAGCCGTTATCTTGGACGGAGCATGTGGCTGGTGGGGATGGCTCACCCCACCTTCACGGGCCAGCACCTCCAGCAAAGCCTTGGGCCAACCCCATGACTAACGTAGACTCCAGATTTGTAAGTTTTTAGGTCAGAAAGCACAGGCACCCTTCTCCTCTGCCTGTTGGGGAGTGCTTTAATGTAGACTTAGAAGCAAACATTTCTGGTAGAAGGAGTATTCACATGACACCTATGTTTCCAGAAAGGTTGGGCAGCAGGTGCCAGAAGATAACAACTAGAGAACGGTATGTCTGGATGGATTAAATCAGCTTGGGTGTCAACTCTGTCATATGACCCACACCCCCAGCAAAATGCCCGCTTAGATGCCTACACTTAGTGTTTCTGTACCGTCAATAGAAGAGTGAATCCTCCAGGGCAATCCAGAAATGGAATTTAATTTAGCTGTCCAAATCTCTGTGCATTACTGTGCCCCAATATCACTGTGGGTCTGACAGTGCTGAGCATGAAGATGCTCCAGGGACCTTGCTGGCACCCCTCCAGTGCAGACACTGACACCCAACAGCAGAATTTGTCCCCGTGAAAAGGGGGGGATGAAAAAAAAAAAAAAAAAGGTTTTACTTTTGCTGTTCATGTTTTTTTCATGCCCTAGAGAGCTGCTTTTTGCATTTTACTGTGAGAGGAACAATTCTACCACATTGTGCTCCATCATCATCCAAAAGGAGGCTGAAGGCTCGTGAGAGACAAGTGACAAAATGATTTTAAAGAAAATAAATAGCAATTTAGTGCACTGGCAGAAAACCTGGACTTCTCCTATGTGGAAGATAAGAAGAGGTAAATGCCTTTACCAAACTGGAGAATAGGGTGGTTTTGCTCAATGCATAACGAGGGTGATAGGCTAGTAATCCTGAAAGAGGTATGAGTCTTGAGGCACCGTACAATGCATTCACCTTTTAATGTTTCTTTTTACAGGCAATGCCCCCAAACTCTGCAGACAGAAAAGATTGCAGGTCACCATAACGTCTGAGAAGGGTGCGCTGCAGCTCTGCAGTGAACACACACTTAGTCCCTGCCTTAGGCTTATCCTTGAATGTGTTGCTCAGCCTGACTTACACCTCCGATGAAACGCTACCGATAGCCTAGAGAGTAAGCGATTTCTATGCAGAAAGTGCGTTCTTTGTGGCTTCTTGGTACCCACCGCTTTTAGACCTCAATCGAGTTAAAAAGAAGCCGCACTCACGCCGGCTGCACAAATGACTCGGAGCATCGCAGGCTCGTACCGCTCGCAGTCAGCTGCCAGCCCTTGCTGTATGACTTTATGGCACTTGGCTCTGTCATCAGCCTTAAAATCAAAACAGACCTTGGCAACAAAGCAGTCCTGCTGCCAGCCTACGGCACAGTCATTGCTCAAAAACAAATTAAACAGCAGGAAAAATATGTGAGGATGGACGGAGGAGGGATGAATAAAACACACTAGATATGTAAATGAAAGAGCAGCTTTACACCCAGACCATTAAATACTGTTAATTACCTGCAACCACCCGGCCACCAGCTTGCTACCGATGATGCCAAGCCAAGGAAGGGCGAAGGCTCAGGCTCATCGGGACTTACCTGCAGCGTTGGTGAGGACTTCCGCATGTCACCCCAGCTAAGCACCCAGACTTGGTCGTGGGACTTGTCATAATGTAATTTGGTTGGCAATGGGTCAACATCCAAGGACTTAAAAAAACCAGAGATAGGTATTTACATAGTGACCCAAAAGCACGTGATGAATATTACGTTAGTTTACTGCAGACATTCCCATGCACCACTGTTGCACTCATTTGTGCAGCTTTGCCTTCTAATCAGTTGGGGGATCAGGAGCGGCACCAGCAGTAGAAAAACCTGGCTGCTCGGTGCCATTTTTCGGCTAGACATCACTCCATCTTATGCTGTTACTTATAGCCAGTAGATCAGGGGCCAATTTCTACTTGAATTATACCCACACCAGTTCATTCTTCCCAACCTGCTTATAACGGAGGTCAGGCAGCGGCTCAGTAAGCGTAAGCCAGAAATTCATCCTAGCATTATTTTACCACACTAACTGCAAGCCTGGCTGCAGATGCAGCCTCGAGACTATGATATCCAACCCATAAAGGATTTTTTTTCCTGCCAGTGAGGTTACAGAACAGCAAACGACACAGTGGGACCCCATGGGTGAAAGCAACACAGACCCAACTTTTTCGTCATGTCAGCAGATCCACTGCGCAAAGATCTACTTTTTTTTGTCCCATATCAAGTCTTTTGCCATCAGTGAATAAAGAGTTCCCCTTGTAAGTACCTGTATGGCTTTCTGAGTCTGGATATCAATTATCATTACTCTGTTCTGCTTAGGCTGGGTCACATAAATGTACTTGTCTCTGACATTGACTGCCGAAGCCCAGAGGCAGGACTGAATGCCTTCACCTTCCACTCTAGGACAGATCTCTTCCTGAGGGGAAAAAAAAAAAAAAGAAGAGCAGAAAGGGTTTAATTTCTACAAGTTCAGGGGCTGGAGTAGCAAGAAGCTTAGCCTTGAAAACCATAGGAAAAAATTCCCCAGGGATTCTATTAAGATGGTAATTTTCTCCTTTCTTTCCTGGAAAACATGAAATAATTATTTTATCAGGTACCACACTGCAGCCTGGCTCTACCCGGTGACATTAAACGGCTGGACCTCCTGCAGACTGACACTGAATTTAAATAACCACACAGTCTATGGATCTATCTTTTGAAGTACACCGTGGTTCATCAAGACTTGCAGTGCTGTCAGCATTTATAAGCAATAGAAATATCACTCTGTGCTTTGAAAAAACAGGGATTTACATTAATTGAATCACAGCTTTACATTTTTCATAAAGTCTTCATTTTCGGTTCAGGGGAGTGTGCTCCAAGACGCTTGTGCTCAGGGAAACAGTAACAAAAACAAGTAGGGTCCTACAGCCTATTGCTCCAACACAGAAGCTTCCCCTGTTCAAAAGGAACCAAATCCTGCCGCTTTGGACCAAATCCTGTTCACAGCTGCCTGCTGCCATATTTTGTCTCTGATCTTCCACTCAGTCCTGTGCAAAACTGTATTAGCTTTAGTGGGAGCTCACTGGTACCCTAAGTTTGAAGAATCACATGTGATCTCACCAACGAGCCTCTGCACTTTGGCTACTCTTCATCGCTCTTCCTTCTGTTGAGTTGCTTTGTTTGAAAGAGCATTTTTGTGGCACCAGGCTGCGGTGTGGAAAGGAGGGTGAAACTAAATGAACACATACATATTCCAGTGAGCACAACTGCTGGTTTTAAATCTTGTCAGTAAAACAGCTGGGTCACTTTAAATAACAGCACAACCTCCCTAAGGGGACAGTGATTAGAGCAGCAGATCTTGTTCATGGAAAGAGGAGGTACAAGGAAAAACAGGGACAACACAGGGTCTCTATCAGAGAGATGGTTATGGATAAAAAGATTTCACCTCTAAGCAGCCCAGCTCTGTCAGCTGGGTACCGCGGTGGAGACCACGTGTGAGGGTTGAAGATACAAGACTCAACAGCTTGGCTGCATTTTCCTTTCTAGCCCTCCAGCCAGGCTGGGGACCTACACCACTGCAAGCTAAAAGATGCTACAGAAGCCCAGCCTTGGGCTTCCAGCAGCCGTTCACGCAGCCAAGCACCTGACAGCCTCCAAACTGCCCTCCTCATCCTTGGCTGTGCACCGGGGCTTGGGATCTCACAACGCAGCATCCACCCAAACCAACGAGAGCAGGGAAAGGTCACCGGCCTTTCCACTACGCTGCTCAGCTGCAGCTGCTCTATCTGCTTCTAGGCCCTCTAATAGCGCATGAAGAAACCTTTGTTGTAGAAACCCTCCTGAAGCTGCAGGCTGCTGTCACTGTCTTATGTGGCAAACACTCAAGATACTAACAGGGGAAAGGGAGGAAAAAAAAAGTCAATCTTCCCTGTACCAAGGCAAAAGGCCCTATGATAGCTGTAGGAAACCCTTAGAGGTCTCTCTGAAAGGCAGCCAAGTAATGACGTTAAAAATCCCTTTTATGCCCACCACTGTGCTGACATTATTTCCTTAAGTGCCCTCTCTCCTTTGTTCTTTTCAAGCTGTTTCTCCAGAACCACCTCTTCAATATTTACAGCTCTTTGGAAAAGAAACACAAGATTTCTGTCTTTGAGTAGCAACAGCTCAAGTGTGGCTTAATAATATTAAGCCCATGCTAAGGACCAATCTTGGGGTGAGCATCAGTCTGGGTTTCTACCAAGGTATATTAAAATCCAGTGGAAAAAAACCCAGTATCAACCACAAATTTATTGAGATTTAAAAAATACTGAGAACAGACTCACAAGATCTTGACCCATGGCAGCAGAGCCTGACCCAGCCTGCGGGGCTCATGATAGTGATTCTCCCCCTTTACTCCTCCCAAAATGGAAAGCAAGGCTGAGTCCTTTTCTACAGAAGGGAGCCACATTCTCAGCTTCCCCTGTACATCGAGCCTTTAAAAAAAAAACCTAAATAAAGGAGTGACTAACAAAGCATTTCTAGATGTATTTCAGCACCTGTATTTTATGACATTTGATAGTTTCACGAGCATATATATGATGTGTGTTACCGCACAAGAATACAGTTGCTGAAAACATTGGCCTCACAGGGCCTCCAGGCACATGTTACCCCACTTGCCATGTTGAGCTCCACTGTGTACAAGCCAGTGCTTGATGTTCGCTAACACTCGGACAAATTTTCCTTGTGATTTCCTAAAGCAAGGGTTAGGTAAACTCAGCGCTGGCAGAAAATGCCAGAGAGCAAACAAGGATGGCGCACAGGGATGGCGGGGTTCCCCGGTGCAGCAGCAGAAGATGCAGAGGACCACCACGGTCCAACCATCCTCTGTGCATCCTTATCCACCTCCTTGCTGTGGTTTAAGCTGTTAAACTATTTCTGAAGAGCTGAAAGTAGCCCGCTCCTTTGCCTATGGAGCCATCAGCACCAGTGAGTGATGTGTGCATCTCTCTGCTATTGACTTTTGTACTTTCCCTAAAACCCAGTTACAACTTTGGGGCATTGATATGTGAACAGGTCAAACAGGACAAGTGAAAATCTGTGCCTACATTTTGACACGGTAACCGTATTCAAATTCTCTGCAGCATGTCAGTAATCCTCCATGTCAGTCTTATAACATATGTGGTTCCCTTAATTTTCAAGAGGAGAAGATGGGATACGTCAGGGATGCCACATGAAGCCCGCCAAGCCCCAGCATCACTGTGTCAAATGGGTCCTTCAGCAATAACAACCTTTGAAGAGATTAAGGAAAAGTTTCCCAGCCGTCAGCTGTAGCTGCCAGGTTTAGGACTTACATAACTTGTGAAAATCCTCTCTTCGGGCCTGATGTGTCTCCGGATTTCACATTCGTTTGGCTGAAGGACTGTGATCCCATCATCAGAAAAGACATAGAACATATTCCCAACACTCAGGCCTTGAAGGGGGATAAAGCAAAAGAAGTAGGATTTTTTTTTTTTTTGGTATGTATCCATAGTTGTTAGGACTTTTTTTAAGAACTCTCCCTCCTCCCCCAACACACAAAATCTGCCTTACATAAAAGTTGGTCATTTGGATGCAGTTGGTGCATTCACAAAATCAAATTTCATGTCACAACGAGGGCTTCAAGGAGTGAAGAGGTACAGACACATTCAAAAATGCATTGCCTTGGTGGCGGCGGCTGTACACAAATAACTATGTTCAGGTCTTGTGCATACGTACCAAAGCAGGATTTGATTAAAAGAAGCTCCTGTATTGCATTGTTAACTCCCTCAGATGATGTCTTTGTTTGTTCTATTATTTCATTAAAAATAACTTGCTAATAATTTGAGAACTGAGAGAGAAGCTTCAGTTAAAATTAATCTGAAGGTTGTCCTGTTGCAGGTAACTTGACTTCTTGTCAAGTGATGCAAAATGGAACTGCTTAACATCTGTTCCATGAATGAAAATACATATTTTTCTCTTAAACTACCTGGATGAACTAACTATAGCCACCAAAACAAATACATTTTTGAAATCTTGCAAAGTGTAATTCACAAATGTGGAGTAGTTCAGCATCGCAATAGCACTCATTTATCCAACTGGGGCATTCCAGGAGATTTGGAAAACTGGCTGCCTGTCATTGCTTTGCTGTTAGGAGATGATATTTTACCATTTCTGTCATGCAGAAATGCCTTTAAAACACTGATAATTGCATACAGTTGCAGTAACGAGCATCTTTAAGAAATGTTCAGGATCTTTTCAAACACTCTAGTTGAAAGATCCAAGCGCCATTTCATCTTTTTCATCCCACCACCAAGAAGTGTTTGCAATGACCACTGTCACCCCCAGTAATGTCGATAGTGTACTTATCTGCCAAGAATATGGTGATGTGATAATTTGTAATTTCTAATTAATTACGTTTTACCCATGGAGAAATAAGGTCCTGGTTCTACAGATCTGAACAACGTTCAGCATTACAATTCCCTCGGCTGGTCCTGTGGTGGCAGCTCTGAACGCTGCTCACGTCTACAGAGTTTCTCACATCTTTTAAGGGTTTGCAGGATTGAGGTCTAAATCATCGCAGGAAAACTTGACAGTAAAAACGTGTATAATTTGGATAAATGCATTTTTGGAAAATTTTGTAAAACATGTAAGGCTAGGAGGGGTTTTTTGGTGCTAAAAAACCCGCTTTTTGCGCCAAATAAGTGGCTTCAGAGTACGTCTCAGCATGCGGTGTTTGCTGTACTGACAATGTTCAAGTTGAGTCTCTCTAAACCATACCACAGAAATACCCCAGTTAGGGCATCAGGCAGGTACAGGAGCCGTGATCCTTAAATGTGATGCCACAGTGAGGGATCATGCACGTAGGAAAAAAGCTACCAAACTTCCATCAAGGACTAAGTTATTTTATGGACTAAGGGCTAGTTTTTTCCGAGTATATTGTTAAAACATTTCATTCGGGCGCTTTGGACCAAAATCCGCGCTCACAGCATGCACGCAACTCCCACCTGCGTCAGTGGGATTTGAGTGAATACATCAGAGGGCAGAATTTGACCCTGGCTGGAATGAGTGCACATATTTTCATGAGTAAAGGATTTTAATCCTAAGAAGTGGAAACAGGCAGGCAACAAATTATGACCATTGTGAAGATGCTTATTGTTATTTCCATGCACGATAGTAGCGTGATTTTGTCTGATGATCCTATTACAATGATTAGTCACAAAAATACTTTGATAATAATTTTACCCCAGTAGGTTTAGAGTTAGTGACTTGGCAAGTCCCACCACTTATTTTACAGTAAAATGAGTGCAAGATTTTCTGCTGACTGGTTAAAATACGATATAAATTACTAATAACATTCAGGTACTCTCTTTTTAAAAAAGTTTACCAATTTAAATTAAAATACTTTTTCAGAGAGTAATCTTCACACTGATGTTTAGACAAAGCAGGTTTTTTACTAGACAAACTAGGTGTTTTATTGTGACTTACGAAGTATTTGCCAAGTCTTGATTGGGGTACATCTCAAAACAATCTCACGGACATTGGTAAAACAGACTCCGCTCTTGATTATACTGCTGCAACTCCTTGGTCTGGGGCATTATTTCAGTACAGAGGTGGGCAGCGGAGAATTTGGCTCAGTTGTGTTATTTATACTAGCGAGGCAGGTACTAGATTGGGAACTGGGGGACTAATGAGGAGAGTTTTTCTTTTTTCCCCTTTTTAACTGAAGGCATTTCACGTTGGATGACACAACTAGTTCAAAAACTAAAGGCTTTTTAAAGGCAACATACCTCATCTGTATAACAAAACCCCTACTATAACAAAAACCCAATTAAGAATGGGGAGGGTCTCCTAAACATAACAGTTCTTATTTGAACCATTCCAGATGAAGTTCACTCTCACATCTTTATTTTTGAAAAACTTCAGGAGGCCACCTGACAATAAAAAGAGTTTTCTTTATTTGAGGAATACAGTCTCCATCTGAGTGTACGTTTGTATTTCCCTCCTTTGAGATCAAAGGGCAAATTTGTCACCGTGGAATACTCTGCTCTGATACTTGAATAATTTTCCTCAATTTAATCTAAATGCTTGGAAGTATTTTAGAACTTAAATGTGGTAACAAAAAGGCTTTCAGCTTTTTAAATGCATACATTAATATAACTGATGATTGCCTGCTGGCACCATAAGCTCCTTTTATCCAGGTATAAAGAAGGCAACACTCGCTACAGAAATGAACACTGGCATGGAAACAAATCTCTACCTTACATTTGGGCTACTGGTAGTTTTCTCTGTACAAAATTCAGAAGTAGTTTGTACATTGAGTAAATATTGCACATGCTTCCAGGTCCATGTTTAACTATGGTCATGCTGTGCGCCCTCATTTCTTGAGGTTTTACTTGCGCATGGTCTGGGAAAGGTTTTGAGAACAGGCTGATAGACTGGCTTTTAAAATGACCAGCTCCTTGTGTTCAAACTTTGACTTGCAGCGAAAGCTTGTTCTATACAATATTCTGCCTAGGCATTTTCCCAATAACTTTAGTTACTACAGACCTTGTGGGCATGAGGATGTGATCATTTTAAAGGAGCTCAAGTCTACCAATCCATTTGTTAATATTGCTACTTACACTTAAGTTTTCATTTTAATGGAATTGAAAGAACAGATTAAAATGCAAAACCAAAAATACCATTCCTCTCTTCCAGCTTCCTCTGTGCCAAGGTTTCACACGCTAAAGTATGTTCGATGGATTCTTTGTCTAGAATGCATGTGCCAATCAAATAGTATAGAACAACACAGGCAGGGGAATAAACCTGCTCTAAAGATACTGAATTGTTTAGGAACATCAATAGTAAATCTGCTTTTACTGCCCATGTTTTCCCTGTACATTGCTCATACTTTTGTTTAAAATGTGCAAGGCTGATAAGCAGTAAGTCCATACTGTTTAGCAGAATTGTAGACGACTTTCTGCAACCAACTTCTTAGTTGTTCTTTAAATATTACTATACTTCTACATCTGGTAAGGTTATCCAACTACTTTTTTTAAAAAGGAGCGTAAGGGATGCAGCACATAAACAGCCTCGTAGCATCATGCAGATGATGCTGGACTGATTAGATGCGCTAGAGATTTCACTTCCAAGCAGAAGGGAAATAGCAATTCTTAGTGCCCATAACGCCATTTACAGGAACGTCAGCAGTAAAGAGGCACTCTTCATTGCCGTGCACCAGGCACTTGCAGGTGGCGTGCTCAGAAATAAGTGCTGGAGAGCTGTCTGAGGTGGCCGTGCCACATCTCATGACCTCCAGTCAGCTGCATCTGCTGCATGTATGTGTCTGCAGCCAACAGTGGGACAGCAGGTATGCATCGGGTGCTTGCATACCTGGCCGAGGTAGCGCCAGTGACTAAGGGCTGGCACTCTCCTTCTGCCCCTAAAATCCTTTGGGCCAAGCCACAGCAAACCAGAAAGCTCCAAGCCAAGGGCATGAAGCACAACTGCCGTTTTGGGTACCTGGAGGCACTACTTAAGAAAGGCTCTTTGCACCCTCCAAAGGCAGGGTGAGTGTGCAGCCCTTCCTGGAGGAACGACGGGAGGGAGGGGTGTTTGCAGGGGGCAAGGGGACGCGGTTGAGAGCAGTTTGGATGTGCACAGGGCTGGAAGGACACCAAGGTCCCAGCCTCCTCCTGTGCAACTGGCAGATGCAAGAACTGGCTCACGCCTGGACTTCTATCCAAGAACCTGCTCACAGCCCCCAGGAGCCCGGAGCCCGGAGGCTCCCCATCCACGCACCTGGGCACCGTACCTGCAGAGGCAGATGGGCGAGCTGCTTGAGCGCTCCTCGGGTCTTCGCGTGATGCGTCTTACTGTGCGTTTTGGAAATTATGCCAGCACAAAGCGTGCACAAAATCAAATAAATTTTCACTTCAAGTGCCTCCATAATATCTTTGAGTCAATTAGCTGTTTAGGATGGTTTTTTTTTTTTTTTTCTAATTTGGCTTCCAAGATACACAGATGTTGACCTTGTGCAGGGCACACTATAAATCTGATCAAACTAGAGATCTTAACTGCCAATTAAAGCAAGGAGAAATGGGGCAACCTTTACCCTGCATCGATTTGAAGGATAGAGGGAAGAAAAACCTGTTGTGGGGCTTTTTTTCCCTAACAGTCAAGAACACAATTTGTGTTCCTCACGTAGTAAACATCAATACGCGCTACTGAGGAGGAAGAGCTTGAATTACTCGCTTAAAAATGCAGTGTATTGAATTTATGTCTTATTTGTTCAATTATGGTAATTTGGGAGCACTTCTGACACTTGTGCAATTGTTAATGCAGCTTGAGAATCTCAGGCTACTCACCTGGGTGGCAGTTTATACAAAATTCACATTTTTATATATTTTCTGGTCATCTATTATTTCGTAGTGGGAAAATGTAAGAAGTTATAGGTATGATTTATATTACAAGAGTGACGTCTCTTATTTGAATAGTTTAGCTTTTACATGCCTGGTCTGTACTTAATCTGGTAACTGTGGAAGTTGATAGAGTTAGTGGCAAGTCAGTGGAGAATGGCCCATCATGGAATTGTTAAAGCAGACAAGCACATTATCACTACGACAAAAGAACTTTACTGCAGTACCTTCCTCTCGCCACAGTATGTTTGCAACTGCAGCATCAGAAAATAGGGAAAGCCAGAAAATAATCAGGAAAAGAAAAAAAAAAAAACACAACAAAACAATGTCAAAATTTTCATTGTAGCAAGTAACTGAATTAATACTCATGTTTACATGAACTATTTGTGAAAACTCTGCAACATTCATTCAAATAAAATATCAGGAAAGACAGGTATTTCCAAATACATTTGCTCCTTCTAGAGACAATTCTGAAACTTTGACATGGGAAAACTCCTCACTGAAATGAAGCCAACTTTAGCCTGTGCAAAGATCAAAGTCTTACCAAAGCGAAGGTGTTACCTGCAAATATAATTGGAGGCATGGTACAGGCTGTGATTTTCTGTACAGGTTCAATAAGCAAGCATGACATCTTTCAGAAGCCTGAGACTGGCTGTTACAGCAGCTACACACTTTGCTGCATTTCTTCTTGGAATTTCATGCAACTACATTCTCTTTTAGGATTCAAATACTCTTCGAAAGCACATCTGCATTTGAATTTCTGTTTAAGATATATCCAATTATTTCTCAACACACTGTAATTTCCCTTGCTCAAGTATTCAAGGGAAAACGACCGATATTAACAAGAGTACATAAATCTATTTAATGAGGAATAGAATATATTTTCCAAAGAATCGCCATGAGAGTACGTATTTATGGCTAACTTCGTTTTCAATTCTTGCTCTATATTAACAGCCAGAAAAGCAGCAAAAATCCCATTTGCACCTAGCCTTTTATTATCGCCATGAACCCAGGCGATCTCCCAAGTAGTTAAGGCAGCAGAATTAGGAAGGATCAGGCCTCTGGGAGCTTTTCCACTGGGGCAACTAATTGCCTCCTTCATTAATTGTGTTTTGGGGACAGCGTGGTCAAGATAACACTGCTGTACTCCTACGGGAGACACACAGCTCCGAGTGGCTGGGAGAATATTTGTCTTTGAAGTGCAAGGTAATTTCACATGAAGGGAAACCTATTTTGCTAGTTTGTGATGTCAACACAGGTAAAATAAATAATTCAATCAGACCATTTTTCAAGCGTCTAAATATCTGAGAACTTTGACTCGTAACTGGCTTTAAAAGGGGAAGTCTTGTACAGAAATCAGTGAAATCTGTTTTCTGAAACCACATATAATTCGACAAACCATTAGGACTTGGATTCTTTTACATCTAAAACTATTGCCAATGTGTTCCTTTAGTAAAGATGTTACCCGTACCACAGCCAGTAAAATTCTGGCACATTCAAGGCGTCATTGTTCTGGACGAGGAGATTTTACCTTCCTCACGCGGTTCCTTCCCAAAACAGTATCCAATCCTCTGATCAAAGCATGGGCAAAATTGTCATTACCTTATAAGTAAGACTCCAACCTACTACATGCAACGGACTGAACTATTAAATTGCACGGATACCACCACATCTAGATACACTTTAAAGAAATAAATACATGGAAAATTAAGCTTACGGGTCTTTCTTGCCGAATCTTCTATGAAAAGCGAAGATATGTCCTCATCCACTCCCACCTCATTTTTAGCAATGCAGGTATAGGCGCCAGTGTCTTCATATCGAACGCTATTGATATGAAGTTCACTTCCGTTTGCTGTAAGAAAGACACCCATAAACAGTGTTCCTCACTGCTGCTAATTGCTTTCACCGCCCTTAATTGCCTTCCATTGCCACAGCCGCCCGGCGACGGCTGGGCAGGGTGGCTTCACCGCATGATGTTTCCCCATATGTAAACAGAGGTACGTGGGGCTTTCTCACGAGAGCTGCTGTTTTGCTCCTTTCCATTAGCACATACACAGTCTGTGCCAGAAACAAACAAAGAACAATCCCAAGTGCAAACAATAAATTACATTTCATTTATTTCTTCTTGTTAAAAAAAAAAAAAAAAGTGCTTTGGCTTTAGGGGAGAAAAATTCACTTCCATTTTGCAAGCTGTTTTTCATCAGATCATTAAAAACTTGGGTTTGGGAGGGATCTTTCTACAGTTCCTCCTATTGTTTTGCTTTCTGGAGTGGGACTGTTGCCTAAAACCTTTGGAAGATTTTGCGATATCGCACCCAACCATGCAGGGATATCTGTGTTGCCAACACTGGTTGAGGGCTGCAATACACCACAGCCAGATTGCGGGGCGTGTGGGGAGGTTTTTAATATTTTTACATAGAAAATGGCAAAGAAATATTTTTGCCTTTCATCGTGTCTGTCGCACCCTCATTTGAACAAGAACCAACAGGGGTCACGAGCCTGATTCCCTCCGCAGAGGTGGGCGTGATAGGTAAACTGCAGCCCAATTCTCAGCTGACTTGCATCCAATGTAGTCCTTATGCCTGAACAAATAATTTAATTCATTTCTCTTCTGCTTTGTGCAGCTGTACACAAGAGGTGAGGCAGTGGAGAACCAGGCCCGCTATCTTTAACAGAATGCTGTTACCGCTTGTATCAATCAATACTGTCTTTCCCGAGAAATTCACGGGAGAAAAAGATAAAAAGAAAGAACAGGGGGTTTGTAACACAATTTCCAACAACTGTGGCTTAGCAAAAGTACAAGAACTTCTAGTTTAAAGTGCGAAATAATCCTCCTTAATCCCCGTATACAATACTTTAATTAATCAAAATTCTGTTCTTACCTAGGAGCGTTAGTTGTTTGGATAGTTTTGGCATGATATCAATGCCGTTCTTTAGCCAGGTAATTCGGGGATTAGGGATGCCTTCGGCGTGACATTTGAGGCTTGCCGACACGCCAGGCTCCTGCGCCTGCGTTTCAGGGTAGACGCGAATCACTGGCGGCACTGCGGGAAACAAAGAATCGGCGACTTTAAACTCACCCGCCGGGTGCAAGCCCTAGGCGGTGGCTCGAGAGCCGCTGCCTTCAGACGGCGCTGCAGAAGAGGTCTGATCCAGGAACCGGGGAAATACGCAACGTCCTGGCTTTCAGCGCGAGGTACAGTAACAATTTTTCTACAGCTCGACTTTGGGGGCAGAAAATAGAAAATAATAATAGAAAAGAGTAAACTAATAAACCAATGCCAGGGAGCAACCTCGAGATCTGATTTTGTAATTAGACTGTTCTTGCTTGCTCTTGCTTTCTTTCATTAAGTGACTCGTTGAACTTAAGTAAAACTGAAGGTGGGTACTCACATATTTAAAAATGAAAGTATAAACTCCAAGCCTTCACTGAATCTGGTAAGGAAGGAATTTGAGTTTTTGCCTATTAGAAGTAGCATATTATTCAACATTTTAATTAAATACCCATCAGGAAATAGCCTGTACATTCACTACCTGTTATTCTGAACAAATAAAGTGTTTATAAATTACTTCTCTTTTTTTCTGAGGCTTTCAAAATGTGACTTGCTTTGTTTCAGGAAGCCCCCTCTGAACTATTTAAATACTCAGTTGGCAGAACTACTAATTATATTACAATTATAGACAAGTTCATTGATTTTCAATCACATTGCCTTCACTGCTCAAATCAACAAGTCTTAATATCACCCATTAACTATTTCTTAACAATCTACCCACACTAAAGAGAATTTGCAGTATCAGTGCGAAGTATCAGCGGGACCCTCCTTCCTTGCACCTCAAGGGACGCAACAAAAGGGGATGTGAGGATGTGCTGTATCACAGCTGATGGTATTCGACGGGTGGTCATGGAGTGCTGTGTTTCATAATCAAGTGGTCAACTTTTCTACCAGATCAGGAGATTTCGGGACTCATGATGCAACCATTGAAAGGTGTGGAGTTTTGTAAAACCACAGTCAGAGCCAAATGTGGATGTGATAACTGGGGGCCTAACTTCTTCCTCAAGGAAAATGAGTAACCTCTGCTAGCACTCGTGGAATACTGAGGAAAATTTGCGGGGTTTTTTAGAAAGCCTGAGTCAATAACAAACTTCCACTGGAAATCACTGGCTTACGGTACCTAACTCACTGCTGTCTTTTTATATAGTCCATTGTTAGGCTCCAGGACTGGCAAAATTAAATTGACTTAACAGTTTCTTTAGAGTAAAATGAAATCTGTGTTTGCAGCTTGCTATGCGCCTATATATCCGCATGGGGATAGTTTAAATAATTACATTCACTAGCATATACTTTCCATCTTTCTATTTTTTATGGCCTTTACCAGAGAGAGATGTATTTTACTTCTGTCTTACCTACCAGCTGCCAAGTATTAACCAGAGTTGAGTCATCAGCTTGGAAGGAAATCAGCCACGACGGAAAGCCCTCAAGTCTACTTGTTTTTTATAGCTTTAAAAGCGAGAGATTGTTCAAGTGTAATCTGAGAGGAAATGCCTAGGGGCAACTGGAGAGACAAAAAAATGGGGACTTCTAGCAAAGGTATGGCTTTAAACTTCACCTCTGCACTGGCCGTGTGGATTTACTTCCTCGTCTTCCATTTCCTCTACTCGAGAAGAAAAGAAAACGTGTTGTAAGATGCAGAGCAATGAGTAAAACACCACGTAAGAGCTCTTTTAATCAGGAGGTTATCAAAAAGACAAGGTTTGTTTTACTAAATTGAGTTTGCAAATTCTAAATAAAAGCATTTACTAGCTTCTTCTCTTCTCTTCTCTTCTCTTCTCTTCTCTTCTCTTCTCTTCTCTTCTCTTCTCTTCCTCCCATCGCTGTCAGGGTTACAGCTCCTCCTGACTTCAGGAGGTGGCAGATCAAGCGGAAGGAGAGCAACGAATGCGATCTGCTGCTGCAAATGGCTGGCAGCTGCCAGAGCCTTCCCTGCATTTATTTAAAGGACAGTGTCCAAGCAATTCAGGGGGATAAGACTGAGAGTCAGGAGTTTCTGATGCCATCTGTACCTCGGAAAATTAATTTAGATTTCTCCGAGTCAGTGTCTCCAGGCGTGATAGGATAAAGATAGTAATTTTTGTCCACTTTGACAGAATTTTATGAAGGTCCTGCACTCAGTGCTTGTCTCACCTATGATTTGCCTGCTACTAGTAACATTTGTAGAATGAAATGGTTTAGGAACTGAGGTCCATTGAAAGTCTACGTCCACTGACATTCAGACTCATAGATGAGAGGTGGTTTGTCTCCTACAAATGCATAGGAAAAAACTTACAATACCCAAGCAGGTGAGATGTCCAAATCCTGGTGAAGTCAATAGGCAGTTAGTAGTTAATGTTCCCAGGTACTTTCCTAATTCTCCAGACGGCACAAACCTGCCTCTTCTAGTCCACAAGCAACGCTGACCTTCTCTGCCTGAGGGTTTGCCTGCCCCAGCCTTTCGCAGACAGACTTGTGCGCCCATGCTTGCAGCTAGCTACATGAAAACCAGCTCTGGAGCGAAGCCTGCAAGGTCCCATGCCCCATGCAGAGCTCTGCTCCTGCCAGGATACGGCTGCCTGCCTGCACCTGCCCGGCTCCAGGTGAGATGGAGATCACCCAGATGGGCTCAAGCCCTTCTCTAACGTAACCCAAGAGGCCAAAGGCACCAGAGCAATTTTACTCCACGCCTAGTGGTGTTTTTGCGCCCACCAGCTCTTAACAGACAGAGCCCGTCCCAGACATCACCTATTTAATGCTCTCAAAACCAGTGCGCATTGATCGGGTTTTCTTATAAGGGTTTGCTTTAGGCTTTCCTCTTCATATGGACACTCACGTCAGCACTCCCAGTGACTGCCCCGAGGCTCATGCTCCCTAGAAACAGGGCACTCCTTCGCAGAGCAGAGTTTACTTGCATCTCCCAGTTTTTTGCCTCATACCATGTTAGTCTGCATGCGCGTAATCCACATATTTTACCTGCAGAGCTGAAAACACAATAGATTTATATTGCAAAAAGTAGCTCAGGGGTCCTAGCCGCTGAATCAATGTTCTGCATGAAAATTAGCTTAACTTGAAATTACAGCAAGATGTCTTTTCAAGAGTGATTGATAAGGAAACTGCTTGTTTTCACCTACAAAAATATGCATTGCACCTCCATTCCTGCTCTCTTATCATTTTCTTGCTCCTTCCATTTTTAAACTTTTCATTTCTTCTCCCTTGTCTTACATAATCCATTGCACAGGTAAATTATTGCATGCAACTGCCTCGTGATAACAGCAAACTGCAGAATGCATTTTTATTGTCCTTGCCACAAATTAATACATTCTAAGTAAGCACATTTTACTTTAAACTTGCAAAGATTTCAGCTCCAGACTTTGGAATATATGGATTATCCTTTGCTATTTCCCTTGGTGAATATATATCATTGCTAACCACTACTGTGTCTGCAGCCAAAGGCAATATAAAAATGCTATTATCTTAAGCAAAGTAAGAAAAAAAGAGGTATTCAAACAAGTAAGAGATTGGGTAGATTGCCTACTACTGCATACTGAGTAGTGCCTTATTTGCGAGCAGACCAATTTATTACAATAAAACAGCTCAGGTGATAAAGCACACGATGAGCACAGATGGTGGTATCAAGCCCCAAAGACGTACATTGCTGCTATAGGACCTATATACTCCAAGGCTTAATAATAATTAATAGATTAATCATTTACTTGAGATGTTTTAATCTTTCCATTTATGATTTGAAAGGAGTTTGCAGCACTATATGTTTTCTCTTGAAAAGCCACATTAACAAAACATCTGTGTTGAAAACATCTCTCTGTTACTAGAAAATTTGTCCTATTGGACCCTTATAATTGGGCCGAGGTTCGAATGGCTTTTTAAAACCGTTTTCAAGGAATATAATGTTCTGATTTATGCTGGTATTTTCCAGAGTGCAAGGACCAAGGAAAATGATGCCCTACACTCAGCAGTCTCTTGATTTGCAAACTATCAATTCTCATAGTTGATTGCAATTTTATGAGATCCTTTATCCTCAGCAACTCTTTTTCTTCTTGAAAGTGATAAATTGCTTTTCCTCCCTACAGTTAGTGTATGCTGTACACATTTCCCAAGCAATATCCATACATAGGAAAGAACATAATTTTCCTACTGTTCTTGGCTTCTCCTGATCAAAGATACCAGCACATAGGATGAATTTTTCATTCTTAAACTTTGTGCTGCCTTTCAGCACGTTCTTTTCTTCTAAAGACATTAAGGGCCAGGTGTATCAATACACTGACTTAAATTTTACAACTGCTGTGAATCCTAAGATTGAGGAGCTCAACCCAAACCTACCACATCAAATGTCACGTGTGGGCTGCATTTCACATGTGTGCTTTATGCTTCTTGCCCAGAAGATGCGAGCCGGCAGTTTGGGGCATTCATCTGATGGTCTTCACATTTTCTGCCTAACAGGATTCTCATCTCTGCTTGTCAAAACGAGCATCTGGATCTGCCCGTGTTATTTCTGACACCGTGAACCAGCTGATACGAAGGGAAGCACTGCACGGCATTCAGCAGTCGAGCAAAACAACCCTTCTTGTCCCCTTCAGAAAGGCTGCTTTGGAGAGGATCTTCAGGCAAGCCTAGACTGTGCAATGCCCGATGCCGAGTCGGACAACGTGGACTTGCTTTTAGCATTGCACTGCAGCCTGGTTAAAGGGCCCGAGCACAGTGCTGCACGCACGTGGCTGGGCTGTGTGGCACAGGTACAGCGGCAAGGGACAGCAAGGACACCGCTTGCCTGCCGTGGACAAGCGCGTGCCTGTCTTCCAGCAGGATTTGACTGCGATGAAGTGAATTTACTTTCCTTGGGCAAGGAAAGAAACAACCGTGACAATATACTGGCTTAGCATACATAGTATACATAGAATACATAGAAAGCAAGGCTTTCTGTGGGTAAACTTCTGATAAATTTGATTAGTCTGCAATACATTCAGCTAGAGCTCTGAATCCCAAAAACTTTAAATTCTTGTCAAGATTGGGCTCTAAGCTTTCTATTTAAGCTTGTATCTCCTAATTTCCTGTATCCCCTAATCAATGAGCTGTTACAAGGCAGTGTCATGTTCTAAAAAGAGACAAAGGAGAAAGTAAGATAAAGAGAACATATTGGATAAAAGCATACAAAGAGGGTGCATATAACTAGGATCAGATTCTTGTAAGGAGAAAAAGGCAATAAAAGGAAAATATTTTGTAAGCTGGACTGATGGGCCTCAGTGGGAACAGTAAGCCAGGGCCCAGGTGGTACAAAAAGGATCAAAGAACACTCGAAGAGTTACTGCAGCTTTGAAAAACACTGAATTAACTGAAATGCAGTCTAAAAGTCGGGACCTGCCTGTACAGACACAATGAGCTTGGGAAGGGTTGGGGATAAATCCCTTTACTTCCAGCTGGTTCTTCTTTTTCTACTCTTTCC